TCATTTTGAGCGAGCAACTGGGCTCGTTGTTTCAAATCTCTAGTAGATTTCAGTTGATGCCGTCACTATATACATTTATAATAGTTGAGCAGTACGACCAATTAAGTTCTTTCACTTTAATAATGAAGTAATAGCAGCATGGTCATCTTGAAGTAATGTTCAAGAACCACGATCCTGGCATGGAGCTCCATTCCCCAGGCAAGATCTCCAAGCTCGCCACAAGCTCCAAGCAACACAATGTATGTTACCTCGTTCTCCTCCACATTCGCGCCTTGTTGGTACAGATCTAGTGCTGTCTAGCTATGTCCGTTCTGGGCTTCTCGTCGAATGGCTCCCTCGTTGCTGGTGTCTTATTCTTTCGCACACGACGCTTGTGCTAGATCTCTAGTCGTTGGAAGAACTCAGAACGCAAAAAGCGAGAGACAAACAATGGAACTCCGTCACATCCTGCACGCATGCACACCCGGAACAAAAACGTTTTTAGCGCACTTTGATAACGATTTAACGCTGAGTCAAACTTCCACTGTAGTCAGTCTCTCAAAGTACAGGATGGTTGCTGTTCTTCCGGGAAATTCCGAGTGAAACGCCACCACCACCATCGGCGTTACTGGCTTAGAATCATAGCAACAAAGTCCATTCTCTCCTAGATTGAAAGTACCACCATGAAAACAAGCTGCCGAGAAGCTGGAAACTTTCACCTCTGTTGTCATCTGGAGCTCAATCTTTGCGGCATGGGTTTCAATTGCATTGGCTCGTAAAGTTTGATGCGAGATCCAACATGGTGAACTGTCCGGGATTGCCAAGGTTGCTCGCCTTCCATTAGCTTAGTCCTAATATATATTTATATTATTAGTATTATTATTACAATTACTTTTTAAGCCAAATTTATTTGGTTAATGAATATAATATGCTAGAATATTTAAGTATATTTCTAAGATGTATTTTTGCCATTTTAAATTGAATTAAGTTAATCTGAAATTCTTCATGATCTTTAAGATTTCAAGTTGACATATCCAAAGCTGAAATCCTCGTTTCAAATTGTA